CAAATGGTTGATATGGATATGATTGATTGTGACATTGAACTTCACAACAAATCCGTTGCCAATTCTTGCTTATTGGAAATCCTCTTCTGTAGTCCTTGCAGAATCTTCTAATCCTTCTATCGACTTATCAGCCTTCTGCCTCTTTTTGGCAATGTACTAGAGGATCCAATCAACTCCGAATTAGCCAAGCATCTCACTTCAGCCAAACAATATGGCTTTCGCTTTAGACTCTTACTGAAAGAATCTCTTAAGCTTTAGATAAGAACAGTGAAGCTCAAGCCTTGGCTTTATATCTGGTCTGGTGATCCTACTATATATCGAGAGATTCCAAAGAAGAGTCTGTTATTTTTATCGGTCCTGACCTGGCATCTCGACTTCAATCACTTTCCCACGACCACCACAAGGATTCCCTCTGTCTTTTCTGTAAATATTTCCATGCCAATTGTTCTGATGAGCTTTCCTCCTTGGTACCTAAACTATATGAATTTAAGTGTACTACTAGATTGGCAGATAGGTCTCACTGTTGAACTCTCCTGATATAACCGTAAGTTCTATTCTAATAGTTTCGCACTGTGGAACTCTCTTCCATTTTCTTGCATCCCTGTCTTCAAAGATTTAACTGTAACATCAATCGCCATCTTCTGTCCTCCTGAATCCTATTCTTTTGTTGTCCTTTCCCCTCAATAACGTCTTCTCTCACATTTTTCACTCTCAATAATCCTTTGCGTATTAATGAAGTTATCGCCTTGCTTGGGGTGAAATGATTTCAAAGAAATTTGCACAGATTTTTTTCAAGCGTATCACGCCAAGACCATTTCTGCCCGTCTTCATATATAATATATCGCTTCCACACATGGTCCGGTGTCCCTGCTATTTACTTTGAGCTCCTTAGTAACATCCATAGAAGAATCAGCAATATTATTGGACTTGATCCAATGTCTCGTTTTCAGTCACTTTCACACCGCCGTAAGGTTGCTTCCCTCTGCCTTTTCTATAAATATTTCCATAATAATTGTTCGCTATGATATCTAGACTTTTTGAATTTAAACCTAGTACTTAGTATGGTGTTAAGATTTCATCAATTTACAGTTGAAGAGGCTAGATGTAACTGTAAATTATATGCTAACGGAACTTTCCCGCCAATCTTTAAAAATTTAAATTCAGTGTCAGTCACTACCTGTTGTCCACCTGTGAATACTCTTCTTTTGTTCTTGTCCCTTAGTAATGTTTCTACTTCTAATTCTTCTGCAACCAGTAACCCCTTGTGTTTTAGTGGCTTTACTAATTAAATAATAATTGATATGTATTCGCGTTCATGTCTTTTGTTGCTGATCGAAATTAAATTATATTATAATGATTCATTTATGAAATAATATTAAATATCTTATTTGGTTTGTATTTTGACAGGCTGCGGTGATGCTAATGAAAAACAACAAAATGGTAGCCACCATCTGGGCCGAGAGCATTCCTTATTGGGCCTCATCATCCAGCACGGCCATTTTGAACCTGAAGAGAAACGACCAAGTATGGTGCGTGTCTCTCAGCCGCGCACCTTTTCTTCATGGTTACATGTATTCCACTTTCTCCGGCCATATTCTCTTCGCTGACGATGAATAGTAATTTGAAAAAAAAAGAGAGAGAATTTTCAACAAATCTACAATCCTTCGGGCGAGAAAAATGGCAGCAAATTAAAACAAACAACAACAAATACTTACAAATCTGAAACTGTGTTTTTTTTTTGTTTTTTTTTTTTTGTTTTTAGTTTGTTTTTATTAATGCGTAAGTAGTTTTAAATCCATGCCATTCTCCCCATGGATAATTCATTTGCGTGAAAAATAAATGATACTTATATACATGTATATCTGCATACACATATATACATAAAAAACGAAAACACCCAGTACTAGTTAATGGTAGTTAACATTTATTTATTTATTTATTTATTTATTAGGCATCCAAGATTGTTTTGTGGGTGTCGTGACGTTTATTACTTTCGTCACCAAAGTAAATGTTATAAAGGTCAATAAAGTTGATGCTAAATTTAAAATCGAGTTTATTAGTGACATGCACGTCAAAATATTGTCGACCATTAATTACTCCATCATTTAATCTGTCAACGATTTTCCCGTGATTTGCAATTAGTAATAATAATAATAATAACAACTATGGCTACTAATAAACGGTGTCCCGTTTTGATTCAGTATTCTTTTTTGATACCTGTTTTATGCATAACTAATCTCCATTATTACTTGGTTGTGCTATTATAGAAAAAGAATTATTATTATTATTATTATCATTAATAATAATAATAATAATAATAATAATAATAATAAACTCTTCTCTTGTCAAATTTGAATCAAGGAGTCAAAAAAAACAATAAAAATAATACCAATGAACATGAACAAAGCGAAGGGGTGTTTGTGTCAATTTTACCCTGATGCTAGAAATACAGAATTTTCGTCACCTTTTTTCCTTACTTCATTCTAGAGGAAAAGAAACCATTTCACAAGTTTTATCGTCATCTCATATTTGTTTGTAGAGCTTTTTGTAATCCGTACTTTTCGCATTATTTTCCAATCTTAGCTTCTCTTCACAGTGAAAAGAATTATTTATGAATGGTTGTGAATTTTCGGGAAATTTTGCTGTGGAAATGATATCAAATAATCAGGCATCAAAAGCCAAATTACTTATATTTATTGTAATCCCATAACAACAATAACGAAAGGCGCTGCTAAAATCTGGAATAAAAATGGCGATAGATTTCGGAGTTGATTGAAAGAATAAAATTCTTAGTTTTAAATACAAAAATAAGAATATTATTTAGATTAATTTTATAAGTACATAAAAATGAAATTAAAATACCTTTACTTATCCAAAATGTTATGAAAGATTGTAAAATGCTCTTTGCAATATTTGAACATTAAAATAAAATAAAAATCAATAAAAAAGATCGGAATATTTGAAAATACATCATTAAAACAAAACAGAATTGTGTGTTTTTAAAATCATTAAATAAATACCTTCAGCGCGTGAGATGCTAAAAGTTATTGCAATAAAAACTATATATCTCCTTAGACAGTCTCCATTACTATCACGTAATATTATCATGAAATTGACTTCTTTTTTTTTTAAAAAAAAAAGGGAATTTCATAAATGATAGTCTAAAAACCATGTAACAAAGGAGATAACTATTTTTTATTTAAAAATATTTTATGTTTGTGAAATTTATTAATTCTACATTTAAAGAAAGTTCGGGGATATTACGCCAGTAGGAGAAACAGATATTGTTACTGATGTTCTTTTTTATCTAGATGCTTTGTCCAAAAACCAGAACAGTTGTTTAAAATGTGCTACAAATACTTAACTAGAATTTAGAGTGTGTATATATATATATATATATATATATATATATATATATATATATATATATATATATAATTAGCTAAAAATCACAATATGTTGATTTATGATTTATCATTAGCTCGCTTCGAAACTAAAGCTAATTGGGCTATGATTTCCTGTGATGGCCGGAGCCTCGCTTTCATTCTTTCCCACTCGATTTCCGGCTTTCAAATAGAATCACTTGAACGCTCTTTTCAGCTGACGTTAACCGAAGACTTTCAAGTTGTATTTACATATATTACATCAGACATCGTTGTTGTTTTGACTTTTTATGTTGTTTTTTTATTTTTTTATTTTTACACTTTTACCTCTTGTCTCCATTTGTCAATAAACACTTGTTGTACCTGAATCAGTGTTCCATTTTTCGTCTTTAATTTAGATACTGTTTGATAGAAAAGTCGAAATCTCTTTCGCCGAACTTTCATTGAAACACGACGATAAAACATATATTTTAAATGGCTTGACTACTGTTTCCCAGGTACATTGAAGGAAAACAGTAACAATTAATCGCCCGCTTAACAAATAACTCTTTTTTAACGAAACAATTGAATTAAATTTCCTAAACGGTAATGGCAAAATTAATTATTAATTAATTGTTTCCCAGATACATTGAAGGAAAACAGTAACAATTAATCGCCCGCTTAACAAATAACTCTTTTTTAACAAAATAATTGAATTAAATTTCCTAAATGGTTATGGCAAAATTAATAATTAATTAATAAATTAATTAATATCAAGCTTGAATGAAAAATAATAAAAACAGTAAATAAAATGACAATATTAAATTTGTAGTAAGTTGTCGGAACTACTAAATTGACTTTAGGGAAACTTTTATTTAAATGCTATGCTAATTGTTAACTCATGTCTTCTTAATTCCTATTCTTTTATTGTTCTCTCTTCTTAATAATGTTTTTTTTTTCTTTTTCTCATATTCTCTCACACGCAATAACCTTTTCCTTTTAGTGGCTTTATTGCTTTGCTTGGGCTGAAGTTACTAAAAACAAAAAATGAACAGATCGGCAGTGAAAGACACAATATAAAACAGTCAAATCTACCCCTATTATACTTCCTCTAGCAGAATTTTCACATTCTTGAAGTACAAAAAATCTAATAGGTAAGCTTCAGTATCGGTTCTTACTTCAATTGCCTAATAGACTGCCTAAACCTACAATTTCCTACAACTACATCTATAAACTAACTTGGCACACTTAAACGCATTATTAGCAATTAGATTAAAAACGCTGCTTATACATTTATCACATTTCTTCCTTGTAAACATGCTTATCGGTACTGATTGATTTGTATTTTACGGTTTATGTCATTTTTTGCAATTTATTTAAAGCCAGAAAATATTTTTTAGATTGTAAGATTTTATTTATTTATTTTATTTATTTATTTATTCATTTTTTGAGATAATAAAGATTTACTGATCGAATTTCTGTTGACAAACTAGTGGGGAGAGAAGAGGTGAATTCATACTTTTCGCAAGGGTATTTGAGCGTAAATGAATAGAACGAATCCAAATGAAATTGGAACTCGACTCACCGACTTCCAATTCCGAGTTATCCATAAACACCGCCTGTACATCTAAGCTTACCCACCTGATATTCCCAAGCAGTCATTCATCAAGGTACTGACCAAACTCGACGTTGCTTAACTTCGGAGATCGTACGAAAACCAGTGTTTCAATATGATATGCCTTAGTTCTTTTTTTCCCGAAAGCAATTCATTCCAGACTGCAAAAAATTTCATAAATACTGTCATTTTATTTTATTCATTATTTTCATCCTTTTTTCATTTCAACATCACATTAATCATTGTCCTTTCGAAAATTTAATTCAATTGCTTCATTAAAAAAAAAATGTTATTAAGCAGGTTATAAATCGCTTCTGTTTTTCCTAAGCGGTAGTCAAGCTTTTTAATTTTGCTACAAAAAGATGAGATGAAGTACTGTCATTTTTTTTAATCGTTTCACCCCAAGCAAAATGTCACCAGAACGCGGCGGGGGGTTACGGTGGGGGTCGAGCGAAAGAGAATGAAAAGACTGTGAATGGGGAGGATTGAAGAAAGGACAAAGTGGAACAAGGTTAAAAAAGACAGAAGGTGGTGATTGACATTGCATTTATGTTTTTAAAGAAGATTGTAGTTGTCAGGGAAGCAAGAAATCAGAAAGATGTTCCACAAGTGGGAAGTACGAGAAAAGAAACAATTAGAGTAGAAGTGGCGATTGCATCTAGCTAGAACGGCGAGACCTAATTGCCAATCTAGTATCACGCTTAAATTCATGTAGTCGAGGCACCAAGGAAAAAAAGCTCGCCCGAGCAGTTGCCATGAAATCGTCGGTGAGAATGTGACTGAAGTCGAGTTGCCAAGTCAGGATCTATTATATTGCAGACCTTTCTTTGAATTTTGTCAAGAAACGTGAGGTCTACAGCAGAATGCCCGACCAGATATGGCAGCAATATTTAATACATGGATGAACGGTAGTTTTATAAATCTGCAAGATGGATTCTGACAAAACAAAATTCTGGCACATTTTTTCTCGTTATTATTATTATTATTATTAGTTCCTTTGATTTTTCTTGTATACGCTTTTCCTTCCGTGTCCCAAACAGAGGCCTAAGATCTGAAATCGCTTCATGACATTTTTTTACTGATCCTTTTTGTAAAAAAAAAAAGTAATCTAAGATCAAATACATTTTACATAGATAAAGCTCTTCTTAATTTGTGAACTGTACAATTTGATAATTTTTTGTTAACATACATTGTCCTGTTAGTCTATCGGAACAAATCAATCGAAAAATAGAACCTTATGCCATATTTTTTAGGATTTCCACTTCAAGATTCTTGTATTTTTTTAATCCTTAGAATCTTCAGGTACTGACATGTCAATAACAAAGTATATTCTGTTCTTGTGATCATTAATCACAATGTCTGGGCGATTAGCTTTAATTGTTCTGTTTGTGTGTCTTGTAAATCCCCATAAAAATGTTACAGTTCCTATCTCTGTAACCGGATCTGGCTGATATTCATACCAGTTTCTAGCAGTTTCATTTCCATAAAAGTTGCAATATTTCCAGTGCAGATATTGGCCCACTCTGTCATGCCGGGTTTTATATTCAATGGCTGCTAACACTGTGCAACCTGATATTATTATTATTATTATTGTTTTACCTTTGATTTCTGGGCACATAACTTTCTGGGTCCCGTCCAGAGACCATGAAATGGCGGTTTTTCCACTCAATAAAAAAGGGCAACAACACACACATATTTTACGATTTCTGTATCTGAGTTTTGTATTTCAATTGCATTTCAATTAGCTTTTTTCCAACCAATTCCAACTTTGTTGAAGTACATTTTTGGGATGTCGATTATTTTCATAGTTTTTTAATATCTTCAAACATTGCAGTCTGCAGGGGACTGCCATATCAATAAGGGGAGGTAAATTTTGTTTGCGGTCTCTAATAACAATGTCTGGGCAAATTAGTTTTGATTGTTCTTGTGTATTGTGGAATAAAATTTTCCTATCTTCATAACCGGATTTGTTTCTTTCACAGATTTTCCAGTATCATCATATTCAGTGGGTGCCAACACCACGCAACCCTGATTCTTTCTGGAATGTGCATTTCCTATTTTAGTATTACATTGTCCTGTGCAGCAAAAAAGCTTTTAATCGCACTTAGCCACTGATTGGTACAGGGTTTGTCTACATCAGCTTATTTGGTACAAAAGTACTGACCATGAAGCGGTTTATCATGCTATCGTTTCTGTATCTGGTCAATTGCATTTGCTTTCTTTTTTAAGTATTTTGCAGCTTCAGTTGGTGTATTGTGCTTTACTTGTATTTCTGCACCCATTTGAAACTCCAATTTGAACTTGTTGGTTTCCTTTATTACGGAAAAAAAAGTCATCTTTCATGTTCTTTGACACATATCATCATCCAGTCTTCTGGAGGTATCTATGCATTGTTTGTAGTTTTGTAGGACAGTTCTAGTTGAACTAATCATCTGCCTCCTTTGGAACTGGGTACATGCAGATGATCAACATCAGCTTTGGGATGATGCATACCGTAGCAAATGAGAAGCTTTCTCATTCTGCCATCCATTCGCTAAATTTCAGTTATGGTCCAGTTAAGTGTTTATGGCTGATATTTCGTTTTTTTTTAATTCAATACATGTAGTACTCCTTTCTTACCTTCTCCTTCATTTGGTTATGATATATTTCATCTCCTTCGCTAATTCCTAGGTACCTATAGGCTTCTTTCTCTTCCAGTTCCCTAATATTTGTGACAAAATCTAAATCTATTAACTGTGTTTCTGTAATTCTCCCATCCTTGAATGTTACTTTTGCACATTTATCGAATCCGAAATTCATACCTATGTCGTCACTGAAACATTTTACAGTATTGAGGTGACCCTTCAACTCATTGTCGTTTTTGGCAAAGAATTTGAGATCATCCATGTAGAGTAGGTGAATGAATACTTTCTTGTTTAGTTTGTAACCATAGCTACTGTTGTTTAGTTCATGCGTAAGAAGGATCAAAGACAAACAAAACAAAAGGGGTGACAGGAAGTTTCCTTGAAAGATTCCTCGTCGGATATTCAGACGATTGGAGATGGCAGTGCCTCTGGTGTGATTTACATATAGTGTGGTGTTCCACATTCCCAGGGGCGACTTTGAACATTTCCAGAGTCTTAAGGATCCAAGAGTGTGACACACTATCAAAGGCTTTACGATAATCGATCCATGCTGCGCTAAGATTTCTTCATCGTCTGCAGCAATTTTCCAGGATCATTTTGTTTATCAGTATTTGATCTTTGTAGGCATATGACCCTCTCCTGCATCCTATATCTTCCAGTGGAAGAATTTTGTTTGCTTCGAAAAAATTTTAAGTACGGTTCGTCAGGACAGACGTGATCAATTTATACGTGGTGGACAGACATGTTATTGGCCTATAATTTTTCGGATCATCTATTTCACACGGTTTTTGACATGAGGTATGTAATACCTTCAGTGATCTATTCTGGGATTTCATTGGGATTATTTACAATCATTGATAGAGGTTTTGCAAGGGTTTTATTGATTGATGAGAAATGATAAAAGCAGAAAATGGGTACCTTGTCATTTCCTGGGGATTTCCATTTGGGGGATTCCGCTAGAGCATGCCTAACATTATTTGCGGTTATATTTTCCCACTCTTGCAGAAGTTTATCCAGCATTAGTTTTTCTCCGCGTTGGATCCATTCTCTATTTGGGTTATATTCCTTTGGACTGCTCCAAATATTCTCTCAAAATTACACCTCATTTTACAGGTGTAAACAAACAGGTTGGCTACTTAATGATGGAATAGTTAAGGAATATATCTATATGGAATATTTGAACGCATTTGATCGCCTAATCGATAAAACACGATCGCAATAAGACAGTCGTCTAAGGATCTGAGTTCACCCATCGTCGGAATCTTCTTAATTTATTTGGTATCCATATTGCTTATTTAACAATATGTCTTCTCCCCAATGATATAGTTACTTCCCTTGATGTGCAAGAGAACTTGTGCGCATGCTCGTATGTATTAACTTTCATTAGATTAACAATTTTTTTCAGTGAATGTCATCTTTTTGTAAAAAAAAAACGAAGACAAAGAGTAAAGACGCACAGATTGAGAAAAATGGCGGCGCAAGAAATTGCAATAATAATCAGCATGGGATAGAAAATTGAAAACTACTTTTAGATATGGATGGACATATTTAGATGAAACAATTTACAGTTACGTGACTGATGTTCAGATAAATTCCATTCTTTGGTTCCACCAATTCAGTCCTTTACAAATAATGCACGCCATGCTACTTCAACGGAACCGAATCACCCTTATTTCCCCCGTATTCCAAATATAAGAACAAAGACAACTTTTTCCCAAGGACCGCTGCTTTGTAAGTGTTGTAACCTAGGGAAGGTTACTGAATAGAATAATCACACGAAAGTTGGTAATAAACGATAATACTTAGGACAAGAACAACACATTTAAGATTCGCCAGCGGCGCATAGAAATAGCCAACAGCTAGAAGTGAGTCAAATGAATTCCACAATGAATTTCCAACTGCAGGCCAACATACAGTTTTTACTATTGTATTTATGTGAATGGGGACATACCCATTATCGTCTGTAGGTATGCTACAACAGTAGGACAGAGTCCAGCGAGTATACTTCCCTGAACATTGCAATATTTAGCTCTTAAATCCAGAGCCAATCTTTATCCCTTATCTTCACAATCTTTCCTTCCAACAGCCTCCTCCTTCATTCTTTTTACACGCCTCATTCGTCATAACTATTTGTACACTGGGTGACTTTTGAGACTTTTATTAGTTGAACTTTAGCACAATAAAAATATAGATTTACATAAATATAGGTTAGAGAGTTAAGAACGGCAATGTATTTTTCTCAAATTATTTAAAAATTAAAATAAAAAATAAATGTTTGAAAAAAACAGTTATTTTTACAATGAAAATAACACTGTCATTCCCGCTAGATATAAAAATAAAATTTAAATAAATACGATTTTGTTTATAATAACATGACTCTTTCTGCATTGTTTAAATATATATAAGTTATTTTATTATATTCCTTAAGTACAAATATACACCGTGAAAATTCCATGACTCGACGATATAACAATTGTAGCTCTTATTTCCTT